GAGACATGTGACGCCATCGCTACATCTGGCTTTCTGTGAAGGACTGAGTATATCCTGCAGAGGGTCGGCCAGTTCTTCTATGTGTCACAGAGATTTGTCCGTTATATATATATTGTTTGAACACCGCTGTCTACGCAGCATTGTACGCATCAAGTGGGGCAACCAGGCGAGCAAAAGTGAGGTAATAAGCAGTGTTAGGTAACCGCGATCACTCGCTGGAGCAGGTGGTCGACCTCCATAGAGTACGTTGGTTGGGGCATGTGTTACGCATGTCTCCCAAGATCTGACATTATGGTATGAAAACCCCGACCAGGAGATTCGGTCATACAGATCCTGTTAGGCTACTTGAATGGGAACCTCAGGATCATTGTAATCAATAGTTAGCGACACTGAGTGTCGTCAACATTGACGCTCGTCTATCTTATCAATTTCTTTGCAATCCTTCTATGGTGAATTCTCGATTTTCTCTTCGACCACTTTGAACTTTCAACCTTGCTTTGACCCCTTCAACCAAATGGGTGGTTGAAAGACAGCAAACAAAACTGCTGCTCGAAAGTGCATGAATAATGGCTGTAAAAACTGAAAAACGTATCTGCTTAGGGGCTACCCGCCCTACATATGCGCTAGCTGCTCATTCAATGAAGGGCATTCTTCTCGCCGTCCGAAGGAAGCCGTTTTATCCCGATCTCACGTCAGTCTGTAGATAGTTTTTTGCCGTTAACCTGCAACTCTCCTTGTTTATTCGCTGTAATTTTCTCTTCCGGGGTGAAAATGGAGAGTTAAAGGAACGACGGCTCGTACCCAATCGTCTAACCTTATGAGATTGAACTCTGTGAGGTCCTGACCCATTGACATTTATATAACACATTTAAGTGTGACGAACAGCAGACGGGGCGAACCCCATAGTCACGAGGATCTGCTCTTCACTGGCGGCGCTGGGGCTCGAACTTCGGACCATAGAGTCCAAGACACACCGGCGACAGCGACTAACCCACTGCACCACCACCTTCCACGCATGATTGAATCAAGGACTGAGAAAGCTAGCCTGTTTGGCTCGTGTCGTGGTGACACACAAGCTATCACACCACGTTAATGTGTTGTCTCATTATTCTGAGTTGCTCTAATATCCAGAAATACTTCAGTTGTCAGTCTTAGGTGTGACGGGACGCAGGCAACTATGGAAAAGTGAAGATCTTATCCATAGTGCCACAGCCTGATTGAAACTCGCCTTGCTTTTTCTTTATGTCTTTCTATTTTCGGCAAAAACTCGGGGAGGATAATTGGAACAAGCTTTTAATGCGATTGAAGTTAAACTGATTTCTCTTTGATTTTTCAATAATGAAAACACTGTCCGATTTTCTCCATTTAGAGGGAATCCCTTCAGCCACCCAAATGTGTTCGAACCTGGTACATAATCCTGTTATACTCACCCACCCCCGTTATTTCAATATTACTGGTCAGAGTTCATCCAAACCCAGTGCTTGGTGACGTTTTAGAGATGTGAGTGCTCAATAAACTTCAGATTCATTGGGTTCGTCGTTCCTCTTGACTTAGTGATTTATCCATAGAATTAAATTCCACCTCATGCTACCCCCAGTTAACACATGAGGATATCTTAGCTGAGGTTCAAATATGGAGTAGTTGTGACTTACCCTTACTAATATACCGATAGCTACGGTACTCCTAGGTTTTCTGGTTTTCTCCCAAAGCCACGAAAACTCTGTATCGTGGCAGGACGCAGGTTGGGTTTCGTCAGAACTAGAACCTTTCGTTCAGAATCTTAATCGTTCTCTTTCTTTGTGGTTGAACTTCCTAGAAGTACCCATTCAAGTAGTGCTGTTACCATGATCAGGTGACACTTCCCAATTCTCTTCCCCGTTCCTCATCTACTGACATTTTCCCCACTTCCACACATTCTTGACTGACACGTTATTACATCTAGTTCATTTCTTGTGACCCCATGGCTTGTAGTCAGTTGAACATTTCACACACGCACATTTTCACTGAACACCAGTTTAGGCCATTAGGAAATTCATTGATTAATAGAATATATATATATATATATATATATATATATATATATATATATACAACGTAAGAGATAATGTGTAAGGAGGACAGAGATTGGACTTAATTTTAGGGACGGGAAAGGAAAGCGAACCTCTATGGTCAACACACAGAGTACACAATCTAGCTGGGCATAGATACTATTTCAAGCATTCTGGTCTAATAAGAAGTGACAGCACGATCGTCATTGCTGTCGGTTCGCAGCCATGACCTTCAGTGTCTCCAACCAAGCGGTTTCGAAGTCTTTTCGACCCCAACCCGGAAAACGAGAGACACTTACTTTATCTAATCGGTCTGTGCATTTCTTCAAGCCCCGTCTCCACGTAATCTGCTTGCCTCCACGTGGCTTTTTCCATCCTGCAACAGCCACTGCGAATAAGGCGCACTATAGTAGGCTACCGTCGGACATACTCATGACGTGTCCTAACACGGAGCTGGACTTGATGCGCTAGCGGGCTCGTGTTTGATGCATTCCCAAACACCCGACGACTCACGTCTAAGTTACTAACCCGCTCACTCCATCCCACTTGGGCCAGACTACGTAAGAATCGATTGTCGAGCACTGCTAAACGACGGATGTCTTCTACCCGCAAATTCAAGGTCTCACAACCGTAAAGCAGAACTGATCACACAGTGGCGCAGTATACGCGATTTTTCAACTTCAATGAAACATCCCGTCGTCGCCACAGGTGTTTAATTCCTGCGTACGCTGCTCGAGCCTTGGAAATGCGGGCGGTTATCTCTTTTGATGCGCCACCGTCGTTTGTCACGCAGCTACTTAAGTAAGAGAGACAGTTAACTTCAGCTAATTCCTGACCGTCTACTTTCAGAACAGAACTCAGCGACACCCAGTCTTGTGGCATCACTTTGCACTTTGAAGGTGCAAAGCACATGCCGAACAGAGCGACAGAACTTGTTAATCTGTCAATTGCTCTTTGTGCATCCTCCATACATTCGAACAAGCAGACGATTCGTCAGCGTACTCCAAATTGCACAGGTTTTCTCCAGCTGCCCATCCAGTTTGGAGACCACTTAGTGCGTTCTCCAGCATTTTGTCTATGACGAAATTGAACAGGAATGGCGAAAGAGGGCACCCTGACGAACACCGCTGCTAGTTACGAGCGACCTACTCAGCTCGCCATGGGCCCTTATACTACCAGAAGTATGCGAGTAGAGTGAACTCAGTATGTTTACATACGTCTACGGCATTCCTTGGCGAAGGAGCAAACCCATAAGGGATTCGCGATCAACTGAGTCGAAGGCTCCTTTTAGGTCAACGAACACGTCAACCATTGGTCGACGATGCGTATGTTGTAGGTCAACAGATGATGCGGCCTAATGAAAGCTACGCAGTTGTTATATTAATTGGATGCTTCTTGTCTTGCAGCCTGGGGCCTAAAAGACTGTGGTGGTTGATTTGAAGCAGTAAAAGATATTGAAGGTAATCAAAATCAAAGACGCTTTGATTGCCATTTTTATCATGGCCAACGGCCTGAAATGATGCTTATGTGCACAGTTCCATTGTGCATTCCTTTAAAACAAGTCCACTCCCCTACCACCTCTCGCATTTGTGCCTTGTGTTTCTCAGCACTCAGTGAAGCAAATCGCGCTGTTTTATTGATAATGGCTCTTTTTTAAAAATTTTACCAACCGCGTTAACTGAAAAGAAATCCTTCACATTTATTTAAAAACAACCTGGTCGTTACTACGTGTGGTATTTTCATTATCTTCGTAAGTGTTGATGAAAAGCTATTCCGATGCACAAAATATTACCACGTTGCCTTAGTTATCCAGTACGGCTCATTCTATCTAAGGAAATTTTTAAAAAAATCGATAAAGAAACATTACCGATGAAGATCAATTTCGATAAATCATCAACTAGGTAATGCCATTTGTGCAACCGTATCTTGGTGGGAAGCGTATTACTTACATATCTAAAAGAGGTAGGCTGGGTTTTCCATTTTTGCCATTGAACGCGTCTAAAATCTTGAGTCGTAGACTTGACGAATTAGCCTAGATCATTAGTGGACTGGATGGAGCGGAGCCAGCACCGTCGGCTTTTTTAAGCTAAAAGGAACTGATCAATATGTGAAAAAAGATTGATTGTTTTTCGCTTCAATTTGCCAAGTGTTTCGAACTGTAACAGTTTGTCCTCGTGGTTCACGGTTTTCATTTGTCTGATAATTTTGTGGGTGTGTGGTCTCTCTTTTCTGATGTGATTTGATCATTTTATATTTCTCTTCGTTTACTTGCCATCATCATCGCCTAGGATAGTTCATTTCCCCGTTCGCTCATCTTGATAACCCTGGGTTTTTCTTCTGTTACGCGCTTCTCTTGTTCGCATATTTACTTTTCCCATAGTTTCTCTTTGTGTTGCTTTCCGCATTTAGTTGATGAGATCTATCTCGCTTATCAGCAATTCACATGAGTTCACCAAGAAGTGAAATTAATTACGCTCTGGGGAACAGTGAGTAGACAGATAGGACCCTGAACTGCAGTCGCATCCCTCACTCCCTGCCGCATTTGACCCCCTCTGTCCTGTCAACCCTGCTTGATGTGTGATGCGTGGCTCTAACTTGTTATTGTCTTAGTCCTACACACACACACACCCTCTCCACCCAGACTTCATCCAGGGATTAGGATGAGCCTTTCGATCCACCGAATGCCCGCGTCTGTCATGGATTAGGTTGCGAACCGACCAAGAGAGAGAGGGGGGGGACGGGGTCGGATGGGCTAAGGACGTAGATTAGGTCAATGGGGATTGGCTGTACGGTGGTCTATCCCCACATTTGTCATTGTCTCTTCCGTGCTGATTGGATGACGAAGTTGAAGTAGGATGAGTTAGAAAAGAAATGTAAGTTGAATTATTTCAGTTGATTGTTCCTTTGGAAACGGAACGAATTGTGGTCAGGATCGGTCAGTCACAAACGAACATGATCACCGGCACTAAACGCTATCGTCATTACGACAAAAGTTCCAGCACCCCAGGGATCAGTCCGAAATATGGTCGCATCACCATATCATCATTTGAGCATGCGCATGACACTTTCGGACCAAATTGCATTGAACTGGACAATCGGGAACGACAACGCCAGCGCAGTGTGAATCAAGCGTTTGTGGATTTACGTGCACTGTTACCCACTTATCCACCGGATAAAAAATTAAGCAAACATGAAATATTGCGTCTCAGTATCAAATATATTCATGTCCTTGAGGCTATCTTACGACATCAGGAAAAGGTGGACGGTTTGCCTCCGGCTCCGCCTATCCCACCGATCACAAGTGATGCTGTATTATGTCATTCCTCGGAAGGGGATACAAGTCGTTCGAATTCACGCATGTTTTGTGTTTCTCATCACCCGGTCTCTGTGGATTCTGATGATCAGACGCCGTCATTCAGTTCACCACATGCACTATCTCCTTCTGTTCACAGAGGCAATACACAGTTGACTCCATCTTAAATCACCTGCATCTTGGTCTGCAGTTCGGTTCAATATTATTATGCTGTTATTTATTTATTTGTGTTCCCCTCTCGATTGTTCCAACGCGTCTCACATGCCTTTCATTTCACGTGGATTTAAAGTTCGGTTCTGCTACGGTAGTACCTTCAGATATGTGTACTTCAATTGTTTCTTCGAAACCTTATTTCACATAGTGTACATTTTACGAACTCCGAACAGATCGATTCTTTCAGTTCATCCCATCCATTGTTTTCTTTCAATCTCAGGATAGTAAGAGTATCAATAATAATATCATTCAATTTATCACATTTTTTGATCGAACGATTTTCGGGGTAACAGATTCATTTACGGAATCCATTGTCGAGTATAGCGGAAAAAATACTGCGCAGAAATTAATTTTAATTATGGTTGTCACACGCATATATATATATATATATATATATATATATATATCGAGATAACTCATAAGAAAAATCGTCGCCATCGTGGAGTTCAGAGCAACACAGTTTTATTGTTGGGACAGTAAATCAATCAGATTAAGGAATCAATAAAGTAGTGTTGGTGTGAGATGTGAGCTATCAACAGTCTGACTAATGCATTCATTGAATGAAAACCATCAAGTAAGTTGTTTCCTCATTAACCAAAGAAGCAGGATAGTGTGACAAATTACAACGACCAGCTTTCATACATCAGATTCCATCAGGGTCTGTGGGTTTCTCTGTTCAAGGTGTATTCTGAACCGAACCTACAGTTGTTCAGTTCTTCGTAATTGTTTAAACAGTCCCACGGAGCTCATAATGAGAACACACATTGCCAATTTTATTCCTAATTGAACCATATATGGCTTGCTAAGTAACATTAAGAATATTACATCAGTGGGGAAAATGTTCGTTTATACACTTAAGCAAATTAGAAATTTGATGAGAATACAATTCCTGCCCCATCTCGGTAATTGCAACACGTATGCACAATTCTACACTTCATGTAGCCTCTTCATCACACCAATTGTTATCTTATGTGCTCCTTGTGACACGTGTTCCTTCTCATCTCGCATAGATCAGCTATCCCAGTCGAAATGGAATGGAATAAAGTGAGGGAGAAATTCTCCTCTTTCAAAAATAATGTGCTCGTCTGTTGGTCTGCACCGCGTGTGAATACATGTTACGAATATGAGGAGTATACAACAGACCCTCAAGATTCCGAAGCCGTTACGAATGGGGCCGAAACTCCGCGTCCGTCAGCAAAATCTAGCTGTAGCAGTTCGAGCCGTTTTTTATCCACCGGATTCTCTCTGATCGGTTACACGTTTCTCTTACAATTGGCATTGCATTTGATGACATTCTTGTTGAACGGGTTGGCCTATCGTCGTTTGGACACAACCAGCTTAGGCCTAGTCAATGTTCGCATTGGTCTATTCTACTCGACCATGATTTTTATTGCACGTGACGCATTTCGACGTGCTTGTCTGAGTCGTGGGGGCGATTTGATCACCCAGTCTGATTCGGAACATTCAAGTTTTCCTGTCTCAAGCCGTTTATTCCCGACCCGGACGAGTTCATTCGCCGGACTGATTGATCTGACCTGGTCCATGTGAGTTGGCCTTCAGTATACATGAGTTCATGTGTGTGCGATTTTTTCCGTTCAAAGCAAATTTAATTCTGTGGCGTATTTGTCGATGCCAGCAAACTAAGCGGATATATTACCGCGCAAGATTCAATAAACATATCATTGTGATATAAATTCGCCAATGCGCGATAGATGGGTGCTCTGGTTTACATACTATTTACTGTTTACCGTAGGTAGGAAACGTGATTGTGCCTGGTACGACGTGCACCATGTGCGGTGGTGGTGAAATTGATATTGCTTACCGTTTTTTTTAAAATTTGTATCGAGTAGTCTCCATCTGTGCATGGGGCACAAAAGCTACCTGGCAGGACTAGGACCTCTGAGCTGGCGGACTGTCTCTTGGCCCATATTTTCCTCTCTATGGTCTCTATCATCTGCCTCACTCATTATGGCTCCAATAAGGCGAGTATGCATCAGCGACTAAACTGCTCGGCAAGTGGGCTAAAGCAGAATGAGGGCAATCAAAGCCTAAAAGCATCTCTCAAGCTAGCTTCCATTTAATACACAGGCGAGATCTACTGATCTAAAGGAAAATCTGTCCAGCTAACAGAGATTCTTAGATTACGCCACATCCATTGAATAGTAAACGGGATCCTATCAACAACCATACGCATCTGCCTCCAGTTTCACACTTGGTTGCGCAAATGTTTGACGTGGACCCTTGAGCAAAACTTCGGGTGACGCTGGTACATCTTTCGTATAAACAACAACAAAAATGGTTCTGCCCTTCCTATGAAACGCCAGTTTCGCTCTCGTATAAAGCCTCAACCCTGAGATGGGTCGTCTCAATCGGCTTTTTAGCATGACCGTTCAGTCTTGGTCCAGAAGTTGACTAAGCCTCAGGGCTTAATTTGGACACATGTATGTCCTCTGAAACACCGATGTGAATCGATCGTCTTTGCTTTTCAAAGGAAAAGAGCTAGATTCTTTTGTGGAAACTGTAAAGTAATCAGCTGGTTTCATCTCACCTCATCATACTCCGTCAACTGTCTGTCATATGCGCGGAAACCAGACTGGTTTTGGACCGGGTCGAGGAAGCATCGACCAAATTTTTCAACCTCCGACAAATGCTTGACCCCTGAAATTCGTATCGCTGACCCACAATGTTTATCTTGTTTGATCAAAAAGCGGCCTTCGACTAAGTCCAGCTCACAGTTTTCTGGCACTGCCTCTGTCGCTGAATGATGTGTCTCATAAGTTTATTTCTCTACTGCGTTCCCTTTATGCTGATTGCCGGAACGCATTCTAGCCCGTCTCGCTCTTTCGCCTCAAATTACCTGAGAAAGTAGTGCTTTTCAGGGTTGCCCTCTCACTCTCCATTTCTATCCAACTTTGTAATGAATATGATTATTGAAATAGCCGTGACCTCATGCGAAACTAGCTACATCAATGTGTCCCTACGTGACAATTTATCTGACCTAGAGTTTTTAGACGCACGTACTGGTAAGTGAATATTCATTTCAATTACAAGTTTCTCTGGGTTTAGTGATGGTGTTTGGTATACTTTTTGCATCTTCGAAGTGTAAAATGTTGCCACTAAACTGGTTTCGTTTGATTCCTAAGTTCACACTAACAGAGGAGTCGATAGAGGAAGTAGACGAACTTGTTTATTTTGGTAGCTCGATCTCACCTGGGCAGTCCATCAAGGATGAGATGTTGACTCGGATACTGAGGACACGGTTGGAGTTTACTAACTTGAGATCTCTGTGGCACCGGCACTGTATTGGGTTGTTCTTGAAGCGTCAAGTCCAATGCTGCTGGTCTTTCGATTCTCCTTTAAGGTATAGAAATACGGTCGTTACGTGGACCATACAAAGACCGCATTGCACGGGTCCGGTGGAGTGACCGGGTTAGAATTGCGGCGGTCGGGCGCAGAATTTTAGATAATCGCGGTGACACACTAGAAAAAAATGATCAACCAGCGTTGACAACATTGACTGGGACATGTGATACAACTCACCAAATAGACTGTTACAACGGGCGATGTTTTCCGGGAGCATGCAATGGGTGAGAAAAGGTTGCAGTTGTTCCAACTATAACCTCAACCAACGCATGGGTCGCGTTAAGCTTCTCGGTCGGGGACTTCAAGATCATTTTGATCGCTAGTTGGGTACACAGTGATATGACTGAGAGACGTAAACAGTGGCGCTCGTGCATCTAATCAGCCTTAATCTCTGCGAAGCTTTGTTTTCGCTCGTAACTGTTCCCAGCTTGTAACTGTCTCTCTCTGCTCCTTTCAAATGGTCAGTTACGGTACATCAATCAAAACTGCCACACGTCAGTGAAAGGTTGATAGTTGTCTAAACTGAACTGATCCTGTAAGAACCCATTAGTAGTACAACTCTAACGCGTAATCCGGGATTTGAACTCCAGATCTCTCGCATGGAAGGTGTGTATCATGATTGATCTGGCAGACCGACCCATGAAGTTATTTATCATCGTATGCTCACTTTCTCCTTATTGACCTTTTTGACAAAAACTGATCACATTAATCCTAGAGCAAGTTAATTTAGTTCTATGGTATCCGACTTTTCAATCCATTATCGTAGGTTAGCACAAGTATCACGTTTGACGTTTCATAACTCACTGAATCGAGACCACGTATAGTTTAACATTCACGGACACATTTTTTCTTCTCCTTCGATTTTCTCCTTTTTCATCGCGTATAGTTTACCACTTGGTGCCATACTGGGTTCCGCTTTACTAGGTGTGTGGATTTGGGTTTTGCCCTCACCCAGTCGATTGGCCTCGGCCGATGGTGAACTCAAATTGCCGGCCGAACTGATTGATCAACAGTATGTGCATTGTCTTTTGGTCTATGCTCTGTCCGGTCTGTTGGAATTATCGACCGAATCGTTTTGGCTCGTGTGTCAACTGACACATCGTGTACGGGACCGAATCCTGATCGAGGCGTTTGCCAATGCGGTTCGTGCGATCGGGATAGTGGCAGCAATTCTATTCGTTTCACCGAACTATGCGATCTACTCGCTTGGTTTACCCCAGGTCGGTTTGAATATTATCTCCTTTTCTCATTCTAATTTTTCAATCGTTTCATTCATCTGTCTCAGGCATAGCTGCCATCAAACTCAGTATAGTTTTACCTATAGAAGTGGTAAATAGTTTCACTGTCGTCCGACTCCACTCCACGTCTGTGTAGACCGTCCACCGATTGCGTATGTGAACAGCTCCGCCATCTTCCTACATTCCGATTCTCCATGGTTTATTTTTTTAAAATATTGTTTCTGTCTTTTTCGTATACTAAATAAATGAAATAAAAAAAGATTACTATCATTATCCTTTAATAATCCATATATTGATTAGATCGTGTTGAAGGCTACCAGTTATTCAAGGGCTCAATATCTACTTCGCAGCAGCGCTGACAATCATTAGATAATCATTAAATAGCGAGAAGCTAATTTTAACCGAAGTTTAATGCCAAATTTTTCAAGCTCTTTTAAGCATAAACTTCAAACAAGCAATAGTTTAATTTAACCACTGTGTTGAATCCAGTCGGTCTTTCACGCTTCTGTAGCAGCTTTTTTATCATCTTTCTCACCTCCCCGTTCGTATCCTTTTACTTCACAGATACTGCATGGAAGCACACTATTCATCACATATCTGTGCTATTTCTTCCGCGTGCTACGGCATCCGAATGAATTGGACTTTGACTCTGAACCGGTAGTGCAAAGTTTCGGCGATCTATTTCCGCGCTTTCGTCAGGTACACCTTACCCTATTTCTGCTATGCTACTCTTTTTCATTCGCTTATCGGAATCCGTGTTTTCCCTGAATGATGTACCAAGTTGTCGAGGGAAACTGAATTGAAAATTTAATTCATCTCAGTCAACTTGAAAGACGTTGATTAGATAAATTCACCATTGAATTTGGTTAGCTTATCATCTATTTCCAGTTCTATGAAATTTCAATTCCGCTATTTATTCCTCGCCATCCTAGAGTGATTGGAAATTGTTGACTCTACTCTGGTGGAATTCGCGGTATTGACAGTCTTTCTAAGGGGATCAAATATGATTATTGCGTATGTGGAAAAGACTTAGCTAATAATTGTTGTGGACTAATTTCCACCTATCCGTTTGCGGTCAACATTGCGTTAACAAGCGAGGTAAGAACTACCGGAAAGTGACAAGCCAGACATAACACAAATTATAAGCAGACATCGGTAATACTCGCTCGTTCCCCGTCGTCGTTTCGTTCTCATCCGTAACAACGTTAACCGAAATTCCTCTCAGACCCATTTCCCAATCTGATTGGGTAGTTTTCTGCGATTTGCGCATTTTGTACACCCACCCACCCCTTACCATGACACGAGACAGTCTGTCTGATCACCGGTTATTAATGTTTGTGGGACTCTTCTAGTTAAATGTTATCTGGCCGAGATTCCGTTTGTACAACCATTAACTATGAACTTTCGTGCACCGGTTTTGGTTGCTATCTTTGGGCTGCCAATTTGGATGAAACAGTGGGAGAAAGACAGGAAAGTGAAAACTAGAGTCGAAGAGAAAATGGAGAATTTCGGTGGACTAAGGTTGCAGCACAATTGAGAAGATAGAATCACGGCCGCCATTGTTTACGACACCCACTGCCTAACGGGACCCTTTTGACCCGGTCTCCTGGTTAGGGATTTCACATCTTCATACCAGGTCTTATTCTGAACACCCTTGGCTTTATTCTATCCACTGCCTGCCTCGGCAAACATCGCCCGCCGTGGTCACCTATTTGGTGACATGCGTAACACATGCCCCAACCAACGTAATCTATTGAGGTCGTTCACTTGCTCCAGTGGGCGACCGCGATTACCCAAAACTCTGCGCCTAATTTCAGCATTGCTCGTCCGGCTTCCCCACCAGATTCGTGCAATGCTGTGTAGACAGCGATGTTCAAACACGGACAGTCTATCTTTATCCTGTTTTCTTAATGGCCAAGTTTCTGCGCCGTATAGCAGAACTGACCGAACTGCTGCAGCATACACTGAACCCTTCACAGACAACCGAATGTCGCGATGGCGCCACAGATGCCTCAAGTTAGCAAATGCTAACCGAGCCTTCTGTATGCGAGCTGACACTTCATCCGTGATGCGTCCACCGGGTGAAATGTAGCTACCCAAATAGCAAAACTCACTCAGGCTATCCAGAAAAGCTTGTTGATTGATGAAGACGCCCATGCCTAGTGAGCATTTGATGTTCACTAGCTATTCGAATGATTCGAGGCACGTGCTACTGTCATAAACCTTGTGGCAGCTAGCCCATCCGATCAATTGATAAAAACACTCGATCGATCTTTGGTGCTTTTCACACGTGTTAAGGCATAACAAAAGAACCATGTGGTATTCAAGAACTAGCATGGGATTGTCACACCAGATTACCGAGACTGACTTCAATAGGGATTATGAATCATATAAGCAGCAGCTTGTAGTTGAACCGTTTCGGTTCGGTAGGGGATTCAAAACGTGCACCTTTGTAAGCGAAGTTTAAGACGCACCCTGGTTTTGCAGTTTAGTTAATTACACATCGTATCATCAACTTACGGCTCCAGTCTGAAGTCACTAACAACACAAGTTCGCCTACGATCTGTATGCTGATTACAATATATGAATCAAATCTGAGCATTTGAAAAGTGATTTGGATGACACGACAAGAGATTTACCCAATTCCGACCAGGTAATTAATTTTGATCATCACCTGATAAAAGTTCTACTTTACTGACAGAATGGACCAACTAACTCGTGGATTGGCCAGCCCACTGTTACGGTCGAGGACCTAACCTGGCAGAATTTAGATGTGGTAGTCGGCTGTAGCAATCCTTGTTCTCTAACTCGTGTCCGACTTGTATTACGGATCGACCGGGTTTTTATATCAATTGATCGTTGGGGTCAGCTGCGACGAGGTTCGTGACGCTAGCCTAAGAGAGAACCGACACCGAGTCTTCCGAATACCCGCTGAACATCAACAGTATTACAAACATTCTTAACCGGCGAACAGACAGTTTCGTGTCAGGTTATGGGAGTGGGCTGGTTAAGTTTCGCAAATCGCGGAATAGTATCCAATCAGATCGTGAAATTTGGCTAAGCTTGGTTACAGGTGATCATCATTGTCGTACAACGAGATACAGAAAAGCGAACTCTGATGAACGTTGCCAACCTCTCAATGTACACAAAGTGAGTGAGAAAGTACAAAATGGATAGGGTTTGGGCCTAACTAGAGGGAGGCAAGGAAAGCGAACCTCTATGGTCACAATCTAACTGTGCCTACATTCCGTTTCAAGTATTCTGACCTGATAAGAAATGATAAGAAGAATGCCTCTCCTGTCGGTTAGCTGCCATATCCTTCAGTGTCTCCAACGAACAAGTTACAGAGTCTTTCGGTCTCCCAGATGGAAGACAGGAGACACCCACTCTACCTAATTGCTCTGTGCATTTCTTCATGCCTCGTTTCCACGTCATCTGTTGATCTCCACGTGGTTTCCTCCAACCTGGAGCCCCAACTGCGAATAAGGTTCGATGCGATAAACGACGGCTGGGCATACACAACCCGTGCCCTAGCCAGCGAAGCCTACTCTTCGGAATTCTATGGGATAACGAATTTTCCACCGAAGAAGACTTACCTCAGGTTTGCTTGCACGCGCGCTCCATTCAACCTGCGCGAAATTACTTAACCATCGGTAATTGAGAACTTCTAGACGATGAATATCTTCCACTTGCAAATTCAGGGTTTCATAAGCACAAAGTAGAATTGACACACTGGCGCAGTATACACGACCTTTCAGTTTCAAGGAAATATCACGTCTGCACCAAAAGTGTCTCAGTCCTACGTAAGCCGCTCTAATCTTGGAACTGCAGGCGGTTACTCCCTTGACTACGATACCGTCATTTGTAACGCAATTACCTAATTAGTAGAAACAATACACTATAACTAATTCTTGACCAGCAAGCATCAGAGTCGAGGTAGACCACATCCAATCTTGGAGTATCACTTTGCACTTTGAAGGTATAAAGCGCATAGCAAGTGGAGTTACAGAATCTGAACGTATGTAAAAATCTAAATCTCACAGTTTTTCTCCAACTGTTCATTCAGTACCAATATTTTGGAGACCACTTAATGCGTTCTCCAGTATTTCGTCCATGACGAAGTTGAGTAGGAATGGCAAAATGGGGCACCCTTGACGAACACTGTTCTTGGTTTCGAGCGCCCTGCTTAATCCAGGGTGGTGGTGGCGCAGTGGTTTAGGCGCTGTCACAGACGTGCTTTGGACCCTATGGTCCGAGGTTTGAGCCTCGCCACCCAACTTTGGTGGTAGGCAACTTTACTGTCGTCCGGTTCGGTACCACGCTTAACTTATCGGGGCCTTATGTGTTTGACCACTCCAAGTCCCGGGGCTTGGGTTACCGGTTTCCATGACTGAACGGCAGGTCCTCTTGACTATGGGATTTACCCCGTTTGCTGTTCATCACACGAAAATGTGTAATAAAAAGTAGCCCACCGTAGACCCTTACGCAACCCGAAGTAAGTTCAGTGATCGGAATAGGTTTACATACTTCTGTGTCATTCCTTTGTGTAGCAGTCACCCATTAGAGATTCACAGTCAACTAAATCAAAGGCTCCCTTCAGGTCCAGGAACACTGCGATTGTTTGTCGACGATGGGTGTGGTGCAGTTCAAAGACTTGACACAGAGTGAAGCTTTAGTCGATGCAGCCGCAACCTGGTCGGAATCCGGCTTGCTGTTCCAGAATATTCACCTGCCTGAATATTGTCAGGCGGCGAAGTATCACAGAAGTTAACACTTTCGTGATGATCGGAACTAAACTTGTCCCTCGGTGGTTTCGCATCCGTTGCTTGATCCCCTCTTGAAGATCAAAACAATCAACGATTCACCTTGGGATAAATCGGTGCGCTACTCCGACCAGCTGCTTCGAGTCATCGAGGGAGTCACGACCCAGCTTGAAAAGAATGGAAAGAAATCCACCAGGTCCAACAGCCTTCCCTTTCTTTACGATTGAACACGGCTTCTTACTTCTAGTTCTGATGGGGGCTCACAGAATACCACCCCTGGGATTTACGCTGCAATTGCCGGACTAACCGCATTAGCACCAGGCCAATTGAACTGTTCACTAAAATACTCTGTCCAGCGATCAATCCGTTCTTCTCTATTGTGGATGCTCTGTCCACTGACCGGTATGCGAAGACCTTCGGTGCTGCGTATCAGGAGAAACAGTCTTTGACTATTCCCTGATGTACAAGTTCTCTCCATTTCGCTAGTTATTTTGACCTACCAGTCTTCGTGATCTTTCTTAAGGCTTTTTCCAAGCGGACGTTTCAGGAGCCACCGGTTCCTATACCGGTCCTAGCAGATCTATCGCCTTTGTCCCATTAGGCTAACTGAGTCCTAAAAGATCTAATGTCCTCGACGAACTTCCTGCTTACCCCCAAAAAGTTTGCTGTCAGATGCATTGCTCGTTTGTTTTGGTTCCATTGATGATGTACTACTCCACCATGTCGCGGTTCTCCTAGCTCCTGTCCAAGCTTCTCCTCATAACGTGCGCAAACAGATGCTCGCGCAGTCCATAATGAGCTAACTGAAGAGGCGATTTTGGACGATGACCGATAAGTTGAAGAGTGAAGCGCATCAGAACTAGTGCACGATCGGACTCAAAACAAGCAGATCTACAATTTTGTACAGAGCCACACTAAAGGTAGCTTACAGCTATGTGGTCAACTTGGATTAACTTGCGGGCTGAGCTAGAACACTACGTTGTCGTCCAACGAGAGCGATGTCGA